AGATAATGTATTAATCGATTTTAAAAGAAATACAAAAAAGTAGATTTATTCAAAATAATCGATTTATCGTTTAATCGGTTTTTTAATTATTTGATTATTTTCGATTTTTCAAAGATATTATATAAAAATAATCGATTGGATATAATCAGTTATTTTACATAATCGATATTTTGGTTATTTTTTTAAAATTATCGATTTATTGGATAATCAGCTTTTTAATAATCAATTATTTTCGATAATCGAATAATCAATTTCAAATAAAAGGAAATATGAAAAAAGGATTATTAGAAAATAATAGATAATTCGTTTTATTTTTTGGAAAATCGATTTATCATAGAATCGGCTTTTTAATTAATTGGTTATTTTCGATTAGGCGATTATTTTGGAATTATTGATTATTTTTGGTATTTCAAAGATAATCGAATTATCGATTTTAAAGGAAATACAATAAAAATAGATTATTGATAATAATCGATTGATCGAAAATTATCGATTATTTAAAATAATCGATCATTCTGTTTTTTTTGAAAATCGATTTGTCAGCTAATCGACTTTTTAATTAATCGATTATTTTTGAAATACAATAAAATAGATTATTGGTAATAATCGATTTATCATAGAATCGGATTCTTAATTAATTGATTATTTTCGATTAGGCGATTATTTTGGAATTATCGATTATTTTCGGCATTTCAAAGATAATCGAATTAACGATTTTAAAGGAAATATAATAAAAATAGATTATTGATAATAATCGATTGATCGAAAATAATCAATTATTTAAAATAATCGATCATTCTGTTTTTTTTTAAATCGATTTATCAGTTAATCGACTTTCTAATTAATCGATTATTTTTGATTAATCGATTATTTTCGATTTTTCAAAGATTATCGAATAATCTGTTTCCATGGACGAAAAAAAATGGTTTATTTGAAAATAATCGATTATTTAAAATAAACGATAATTCTATTTATATTATATTTTGTAAACACTGATTTATCGGTTAATTGGCTTTTTAATTAATCGATTATTTTTGATTTTTCAAAGATAATCAAGTAGTCGATTTTAAAGGAAATGACAAAAAATATATTGTTTGAAAATAATCTATTGTTCGAAAATAATCGATTATTTTCAATGATCGATATTTTATTTCGATAATCACTCATCCCTAGCGACCAAATGACTTTTAATATATTTAAATTTTAAAATGTTATCTGGTTTCAGACATATGCATTTCTAGAGTTTTATGTGACTCATCCTTTATAATAATTAATATTCTTAAAGAAAGAAGCCTTGATATACTTTTTTCTGAGGTTACAATACAAAACAGCATTTTCTCATTTTGACTAATTTTTAATAATATGTAATAGCCGTAGAAAAAATATAATGTTCCACTCATAAGGGTAGATTTGCAGTATTAGCCTGCGCACATGCTATTTTTATAATACTCGTAGACAATGAGTAACATTTTTTGCTCTATTAACAATATATTCTATTTCAACATTATACTGTAATCTCTTGCAGAAAAGTCCGTAGTAAATAAACGCTAACGAAATATTCTATAAAAGGTCTTCTCTTTACATAAAATGTCGTGGCATCTGTTTGATATTAAAAAATCACGGTTATTTTATTTCATAATACAAAATTCGATTAAACACCTTTTAAATAAACCTAATAGTTCATTAAGATGCTAATAAACAAAGTCCGGTCCCTGTCACAGAGTTCGGGTCGCCGCGTGTCGCTGCCCAGTTCCCCCACTCCGTTAACCCTTCTTTAGAAATTGGCAACATTTGCGCAGGTTTAAAACCGGTGTATGTTATATCTCTGGTCTCTTTTATCTAAGACTTTATATAAAATGTTTTGCAACCTGTTTTGTAATTAGGTTCGCCTTAAAATAGTGAAACTAAATAAATAAAATTAGACCACCTTGTTTGGGATGTTATGTTTAACAACTTCCTAAACCATTCGTATGAATATGGTTTGAAAATTTTATATTTTACTCGCCTAGTATATTGTGTTAAAAATGTTTACTTTATAATCATTCTTTATTTATAAAACATGAAATAGTTACTTGGGAGGTATTCAATAACATCCTGTATATTGTAATGATTATTTTACTACGGAGAAACTGATCGAAACGTGATAGAACAAAGAAAAATTTATTATTTTTCTGGTCAAAAATCAGCGTCGAATTAACGACCGACCACATACGGATTTATGGTAATTTTGAGGATAACTGCGGTTTTGATATTATTCTACAATTTTACAAGGTATAGATACGTGTTACATCATAAGTTTACTTGTACTACGTAACTAGATGCAAATGACTTCATTCATTCGTTCATGGATTTCCTACTTCAACTAATAAATAACAGGGACGGAATGGCTTTTTAAGAAGAATTATTGAAATGAATATTTTAATCAGTTTCTTTACACTTTTTTTTGTGTGCTGTTTCCATTTAGTCTATAAGATGAAATACCGTTTTATGTATTTATTTATTTTTAAAGGATAAAGACTTCCAAAAGAGAAAAGTTTCATATATGCATAAATCTGGTATTTATAGAATGAGTTCTTTCGCTTGTAACACCATTTACATCAGTCAAGCTGCCGAATAACTAACCGTGTAACATATATAATTATAATTAACACTTAATAATAATTATTTTTCACGCCTTGTTCTCATTGATTATAGATAGTACCCAATTTCCCCACTGTGTGGGCACGTATTTTAAAATCTAAATACTCTCAAAAGTATTTAGAAAGTTCCAAAATAACAATTGGTTGTGCCAGTCCTTCTCACTTCTGCTCCCGTTCCGTCAAACCCAGATGCACTTTTATGTCATTATTTATTTTCGTGCGCAAGTGGTTACACGTAAATAATTTGTTTTCATTATTAATTATCAAAAATACCTAAACGGGTAAATCAGGATGAACATTTTTACGAGGGAGTCTAAGTCCTCTGAGAATTATCTCTCTCTATCTGTAACGTGTGGAGGATGGGTTACCCCCACGGCCCTTAGGCCTCATTAGGCCATTGTGCATCCTCCTGAGATGATAAGCACCTTCTAGCTCGTGAGCTAGCCTACAAATATAATGTAGTTGAAAACGTCGCCAAGAGGTGCTTCTCTTATATCGGCCGGTGTTAGCCAATACTCGCCGAACATAAAGGATATGCTCAATGGTCTCATCTTCTTGTTTGCACCCTCTGCAGAGTGCGGGTTCTGACAGCCCCATGATATAGAGATGCTTTCGTACTTGGCAATAATCAGTCAGAATGCCTGTGATTAGTCGCAGATTCTGTCTAATCATATTCTAGTATTTGTTTACTGCAGTGTTGTCAGGATAACTTACGAGCTCCCTGGCAACTCTACAGTTTCTTATTTCGTCCCATCTTTCCTTGAATTTCACAAGGGAATGTTCTTTGATTAGGTCTATCACTACCGATTTTGTCAAGCCAATAGAAGGGCCAAGTCCAAAAAGTATTTGGTTGGCTGCTTTCTTGGCTAGTGAATCAGGAAGACGATTACCTTTCGATGTGGCGTGACCCTTGATCCATCTTAAGGTGACCACATTGTTGATGGGTATTTTGGCCCAAACTTACCCTGAGTAAATTCGTGGTCTGTTCAGGGTGAGTAGTGCTTGTCTGCTATCTGTATAGATGAGCATGTTTCTTCCAGTGATATTGTTTCTGGTTATTTCTTTTGCTGCTATGAGAATCCCGGTAAGCTCTGTTTGAACTACACTTGCACTATTGCTTACAGCCCATTTTATGTTTAGGTTTAAGAATCTAGAGTATATTCCACATCCTGAGCCTTGTTTTGTTTTAGAACCGTTGGTGTAAATATAAATCGTATCTGCCTCTTCTGGCTCTTTTATATGTTCTATTATAACTTCATATGGCAAATGGAAGATATATCTCGTTAAGATGAAGTCTATTTTCACTTGAAGCAGTGTGAGCGTATCGAGCGCCTCCTGACAAAAGCGACGTCTCGCCTCACCAAATATTACATCAGTTTCTATTCCAATCGTGGGGAGACGTGTCATTATCGTCAGAACAACCTCCTTGATGTAAATATCAGGGAGAGTGAGATTAAGAATGACTTCCATAGCTCTGGTCGGTGTTGTTTTCATGGCTCTTGTTATGTTGAGACATGCTGTTCTTTGAATTTGTTCTAGTTTACGTATAGCTGTTAATTTTTGGGTTTTCGGTACCCAGACAACTGCACCGTATGTTAACATAGGTCTTATGATAGCCGTGTTAGTCCATGTGACGACCCTGGGGGGGAAACCCCAGGTGCACCCCACGGTTCGACAGCATTGTTCATAAGTAGACCTAGGAATATATGCACCCAAAAAGTAGTTAAATATGCGCATATATATGCCGCAAAATACTTCAATATATGCGTAAAAAATTGAAAAATATGCAGAGCATATGCAATAAGAGTAATTTGTTATTTGATCGAAATAGTTTATTATTATTTATTATTTGTTTTATTTTACAATACCTAATATAATACTTAATAATTATTTAATTATTAACTAATTTTATTTACAAATCAACAATTAGATGTTTTTCTAAATTATCTGTATTAAATGATTGTCTTTTATCAGTAAGTATGTACTTGTACAAAGAAAAACTCCTTTCGACATCTACAGAAGTAATAGGTGCAAACCTAAATTTTCCTGAAATATCTGGATGAATAGTATTATTATCTTCAAAGTTACCAGAATAAATATTAGCAAAGTTTCTTAAAACAATAAATCCTTCATTTTTTAAAATAACATTTAAAAATTTATGAAAATCGTCTTTCCAATATCGCCCTGGACATTTTTACACTATGATTCAAACGTCTTAATTAAATTTACGGAAGTCACCAAAGGTAAATTTTTTTGTTTTAAATCTAATATAATTTTGGGTACAAATGCATAATTTTTTAAAAACACTAATTGCTTTGGTAATATGTGATTTTGAAACAACTTCTTTGTATTAGATATTACCTTAGATGAATCATCAAAATCAAATATGATTTCTTTAATTTTTTCATAATTATCTGCGTAAAAAAGGCAGCTTTAAGCCAGGTACCCCACCGAGTAATCACAGGTTCCGGTGGCATCTGTAATTCAGGAAATTTTTCTTTGTACAATTGAGTTCTTAGAGGAGCTTTAAGAAATATTTTTTTTACATTACTAATTAAATCATTTATTAAAGAAAAGTTAGACCTAATTTCTTCTGCAAATCTTTTAAGGCCATGAGCCAAACATGTAACATGGATTAAGTTTTCATAAAACATTTTTAAATTTTGTGCGACTTTTACCATGTACGGGGCAGCATCGGATAACAACAATAAACATTTTTCTGTTGGAACGGCTTCCGGAAGAAAAAGGAAGACAATTCTGTCTGGATAAAACGAGTTATTGTCAAGTTATTTGTTTTATCTAATTGCTTTGAAGCGATTAGGTATGGACCAATTTGCATTTCTTCGCGTAATGAACCTATCATTAAATGGGCTATATATCGACCACAAGAGTCTGTTGTTTCATCCACAATAATGTAGAAATGGTTTCCAACGGTAATCTCACGAATTTTTTCACGAGTCTCAATGTACAAACTGTCAACACCACGTTTGCGTAATATACTTTGCTCTGGAATATTAAATTTACAGTATTTTTGCAAAAATGATCGGAGATTTGGATTATTTAATCGTATTAAAGGGATATTCGAAGTCACTAAAGCTTTGCATAAATCTTCATTAAAAATAGCTTGTTCACTTCTAAACGATCCAGATTCTAAATATTGTTTCAAGGGAAGTTGACTTTGTCTGCGAGTGTCTTTAGATTTCTGCTTTGCTTCTTTTTACATGGAATCTAAAACAAATAAATTCCTGTAGATGTTGAAGTTTTAATTAAATTAAATAAATGCGTACGTTGTAAAGTTGCCCTACTTTTTTTTTAACTGTGAGTTGAAATAATATTTTACTGTCGTTTGATTTACCATTGTGAAAGGTCAAAATAAAATATAAAATAAAAAAGTACTTACAATTTTAGAACAGGTTTTACAAAACACCTTCTACAACAAAATCTGAATAAGATTTTACCCACGACTCAATTAATTTTGCCATTTTTCCCACTGGTTAACACAACACAACAATAAAGACTGAAATGAAGTTGAAAGTAAACTGAGTCATTTAGAAATTTGAAGATATTAATACAACTACCTGAAAGGATATTTAGCAAAATTTGTTGGTTTAAGGAGGGTGTTTATAATTTAATCCTCTCAAATACCTACACCATTAACCGTAATTTATTACAGGGAAAAGTTAATCCTTCAAAATTTTAGGAAATCGACCTGTAAAGGCATTTCACAAAATATTATTTTGGTCCAAAACTCATAATTTTAATATGTTCAGCCAATTAGTACGTCAGGTATATGCCAAAAAATTAACAAAATGTCATTATATGCATTCAAAATCAAAAATTGTATATATATGCGACATATGCAAAATATAACGTTTTGCATATATTCCTAACCTATTCATAAGCAATGTATGCTTTTTTAACTCTGTTTTCTAAATGTAAGTTCCATGTTAACTTGCTGTCAATGGTGAGACCTAGGTACTTCACCTCTGTTGCAAAGTTTAGTTTTGTGTTTATGAGGTCTGAGGGGTTTAATTTAATTTTCATCCTTTTCCTTGTGAAAAGGACCATTTCTGTCTTCTTAGGATTGACAGACAGTAAATTGTGCTTGCATCACTGTTCAATAATTTTAAGAGCTACTTGCATTCTTTAGAAGAGTATGTTCTCAAAATTTCTTGTTTGCAGAATGACCAGGTCATCTGCATAGGCTATTGTGAATTGACTGTCATTATTGAGGCGGCTAATGAGGGTGTCGAGGACCATATTCCATAGTAGAGGTGATAGCATCCCTCCCTGTGGACATCCCCTCGCAACCAAATCTCTTATAATCACATCTTCTGCTGCTCCTCTTGGTTAGTGTGTGTATTATCTTTGGGAAGGTGGTTTTATTAAAAGTACTCCTTATTGTCCAGGGATCTTTCTATCCGGCCAGCAACTAGATGAAGAGCTGAATCAGTAGATCGGCCTGGGGTGTATACATATTGGTTTGGGTGTAATTGTGTTTTTGTAATCCTCTGAGGATTACAAACTTAAATACAAAATTATAAAAAGAAGCTGCATAAAAAAGAGGACACCGAATACCTCATGGATGTTAAACAAAATGGCGACACAAATGTTAAACGCTTTTTATGAATTACAATTTTTTTTATTTGTTTTAGATATAAATATGTACTCCATCGATCAGCCTTAAAGAATACGCAGTATACACTGTGATAGAAGCTAGTTACCGGTTTATAACTGAATCATGCATAAGACTTGGTATCTATACAGTTCTCTCTCGTAATTATTAGGCAGTTTGTACTGTAAAACAGGCTAGTTAATGGTTATACAGTGCGTCCATAAAGTAACGCATAAATTCATTATTGGCTAAATGAACAATAAAATTAGGAATTCCCAAAACAGGTCGATTTTTGATTTCAATTTACTATTGTTTCAAATCATAATCTAATAAACAGGGTGAACCACTTTCGTGTAATGGCGTCATCACCATTTTTTTCAAATGGAACCCCCCCTTTTTTTTCAATTTCCAAATTGCCTTTGCTGAGCTGATTCCAAAAATGTATAATATGTTGCTTCAAATTGGTACAGGGTGGGCAAAAATGCAAAAATTTACTTACAAAGTAATGAAAATAACGAATAAACGTAATAAACACATTAAATGAAATTACGTATTGTTATTACAACTACTTTGATAAACTATCAAGAACATACAGCATTATTCTTAATAATTGTATCTTACAGCTTTTATTTGTGATCCAAGCCCCTGGACTATAAAAATCTTTTTGTTTGGCATTATCTTTTACCAGTTTTTTTTATTTGACATACCAGTTTTTTTTATTTGACAACACTGTCAAAAACATTGAAGCACAGTTTCGTATTGTTAACGCTGTAGAGAAGGTACGTTCGTGAACTTTTTTTACAAAATGCCTTTAACCGAAAGTGACAGGATTGAAATATTAATGATGATTGGTATTGGCGATAAGATGCGGACTCAACAAGAGGTATGCCGATTATTCCATGAAATGCACCCAGATCGTGAACCTATTTCACAATCTACGGTAAGTAGAATAGAGCGAAAATACAGAGAATTAGGACATGTGAGGGATGCAGCAAGGCAAGGTAGACCAAAAATTGATGAAAATATTCAACAAGACATAATTTTGTCGGCTGTAGAAAATCCACACTGTACAGTGCGAGGATTATCTAGGGATTTTGGTATTGGAAAGTCTTCAGTATCAAACATTTTCAAAAAGGTAAAATACCATCCTTATAAAGTACGTCTCATCCATGAATTGGCTGAAGACGACTTTGACCGAAGAACTGAATTCTGCGAGTATATGATGAACCAAAATAACAATTTCATTGATAACGTTTTATTTTCGGACGAGGCAACGTTTTATTTGAACGGTCATGTTAACCGGCAAAACACCCGTTATTGGTCTGATGAAAATCCACACTGGATGCAAGAGTACCATACGCAAAGACCACAAAAAACTAACGTATGGGCTGGTATTGTGAGAAATACAATTATTGGTCCATATTTTTTCGATGAAAACTTAACAGGAGCATTATATCTGGATTTCCTACAAAATACATTAATTCCTGATCTGATCCAGCTTTTTCCTGATATTCAAATACCCACTAATGTAGACCGCAGAATCTGGTTTCAACAGGATGGCGCACCGCCACATTACGCAGTAGCTGTGCGCAATTTTTTAAACACAACTTTTCCACAAAGGTGGATAGGAAGAAGGGGACCAGTGGAATGGCCTGCTAGATCACCTGATCTGAACCCATTAGACTTCTTTTTAAGGGGTTATTTAAAATCTAAAGTCTACTTCAACAGACCTGGAAATATCCCTCAACTACAAGACCGAATCAGACAAGAAATACAGAGCATAACACCCGCTATGCTACAGAATGTTAGAGACGAAAGTAATGCCCGGGTCAGTCATTGTCTAACGGTCAATGGAGAACAATTTGAACATTTATTGTAAATTTTCGTTCGTTTGTTTGTTTTTGGAAGTGTATCACATTAATTGCATAACTACATAATTCCATTTAATTTGTTTATTACATTCAGTAACGTATTACTTTCCATAAACAATTTTCATATTTTTTTTTGCATTTTTGCCCACCTTGTACCAATTTGAAGCAACATATTATACATTTTTGGAATCAGCTCAGCAAAGGCAATTTGGAAATTGAAAAAAAAGGGGGGTTCCATTTGAAAAAAATGGTGATGACGTCATTACACGAAAGTGGTTCACCCTGTATATTAGATTATGATTTGAAACAATAGTAAATTGAAATCAAAAATCGACCTGTTTTGGGAATTCCTAATTTTATTGTTCATTTAGCCAATAATGAATTTATGCGTTACTTTATGGACGCACTGTATGTATGACAATGCCTGTGGATCTATATAGATTATTTTTCTGTTTATTATGCCCAATATGTATAGAAACATGGTTTTTTAATGCCTAATTATAAGATGTTTATTCAAAGAAAAAATACATATAAATAATATAAATAATAAATATGAAATAAGTACAAATACAGTATAAATTTAAATGTAAACATTGAAGACTTACTGAGGCTGTGTGCGAACTAGTTTATTTTGAAATATTTAAAATTCGACATAGAATAATAAGAAATAAATAATAAAACAAAAAGTATCCGGGTTGGGACATCAGATGATGGGTCTTAATAGGGAAATAGATATATTTGGAAGTTAAGTCGGTAGTTAAGTCATGATCGGATCACACATATTATATTTTGTGTTTTTTTTTTTTTGTATAATTGTCCAAGTTGAAAATTTGTTACACTTAAATTATTTTAGGTATCTTAAATTAATTAGGTCATTAAAAATATATCT